GCACCAGAGGGCACCTACCTGGGATTTGCCGTTGGCACCAGCAAGCATCAAATCGCAGCTCCAGGCAGAGCCCAGTCCTCTCAGATGCGAGCCAAGGGGTCTCCATGAGGGGGACTCCAGGGGTAGCCTGGCAGACCCCAGCTGCCCAGCACTCCTACTCTTAGAATTTGAGAGCAGCCAGGCCGGGCCAGCCTGGGGCCAGGTGGCTGCCTAGACTGGAGTTTGGTCAGCAGTTGGGGACCTATATTGTGAGATAGTTAGGACTTTGTCCACAAACTGGAATTTGAAATTTCAAAGGGGCGAACTGAAGGGCCCTACCCCAGAGTGGAGATGGCTCTTGGCTTCTTTCCCCCACGACTTTTGTTCTTTGTCTTGATAAGTCCCACTTCTCCCTGCACCTCGCCCCAGGAGGCAGGTGGGAGAGGAAGGAGGGAAGACAGTTGAGTGGGGGCAGGGGGAGCACTAGGGGAAACCATGGTTCCCGGTGGCCATGGGGTGGCCAGATGTCTGCAGGATACCTCTATCCAGGCAGCCCCAAAGGGGCAGGGGCAGAGGGGAAGGACGTTGCTGGATGGATGGCATTGGGGCCAGGGCTTGTTCGGGGCTGGGGAACACTCCTGCCTGGGAGCTTTCAGGAGATGAGGTTCTGATTCCCAAGATTTGCTCAGCTAGTGGCTCAAGAAGTCCATGGCCAACGACCCTGGCCACTATTATTGCCCTCTACAGCTGTCCCTGGACATCCGTTCCTGGGGATTCCAGGACACACCCCCTCCCCCTGCCATATGAAATCTGAAGTTGCTCAAGTCCTTGGTATAAACTGGTGTATATTTGCGTATGACCTCTATGCACCCTCCCTTATGCTTTAAATCATCCCTAGATGACGTTTCCTACCCAATACATGTGAATGCTATGTAAACAGTTGTTATGTTATAATATTTAGGGAATGATGGCAAGAAAAAAAGTCTGTACAATGGTCAGGCCCTGTGGTGTGCACCTGAATGTAGTCCTGGCCCTCAGGAGTCTGAGGCAGAAGGACCAATTGAGTCCAGGAATTCAAAGCCACTCTGGGCAACACAGCAAGACCTTGCCTCAATCAGTCAATCAGTCAAACAACCGTCAACCAATCAGATGTAAAAGACTATATCTGCAGATGTCCGATACAGATGCATATGTTTTTTTTTTTTCCTGAGCATTTGCAATCTCAGGTTGATTAAAACCTTGATACTAACCAAAACCATAAGGCAGAAGGCCACCGCACACCAATACCTAGTCACTTCCTGCCCTCACCATCCTTCCAAGGAAGACATCCCCTCCACTTGCGTGCATGTGTGTGTGCGTGCATGTGTGTGTGTGTGTGTGTGTGTGTGTGTGTGTGTGTTTCCTGATGCTGAAAACAATATTGAGAGAAATAGAACCCAAGATCTCATATGGTAAATCACGATGCTTAGATTTTGATTCCAGATTGTCTGATTCCAAGATCTCTGGTGTATGCTGCTAAAGGACAGTGGCAGAAGGGTTGAGGACTCTTGAGAGTGCTGAGAACCAGATCAGGTGATCTCACACAGAACTACAGATTGGGCCCATTTTCCAGCAGGAGAAACCAATGGGTTAGAAAATATGCTTGAGCTCCCAGAGCTGGTAGATCACACAGGCGAGGTGGCATTTACAGGGGGGAGGTGGCCTGGAAAATATTGTTTGGAGTTGGTTAAAGGTGGAGTTAAAAGTGGTGAATGGAAGAGGTTATGCAATTTACAGTTGATGAGGGGGAGCTTTGCTGTGGGGTAAGGCTGTATTGGGGCAGGTCATGGGCCTGAAACATGCCACCACACAGTCCTGCACATTGGCCCTTGGTAAGCCATGGATTGTGTTTCTGGTACTTGGTGGCTCTTCATTTACAGGCTATCCCTTTCATAGGAAGTTGTGTGTGTGTGTGTGTGTGTGTGTGTGTGTGTGTGTGTGTGTGTGTGTGTGTGTGTGTATCAGTACTGGGGCTTGAACTCAGGGCCTGTCCCTTAGCTTTTTTGCTCAAAGCTGTCACTCTACCACTTGTGCCTAAGTTCCACATCCAACTTTATTTCATTTTGTTTATTCATTTTCTTTTTGTGGTTAACTGAGATAAAAGTCCCACAGACTTTCCTGCTTGGGCTGGCTTTGAACTGAGATGCTCAGATCTCAGCCTCCTGGGTAGCTAGGATTACAGGCATGAGCCACTGCTACTCGGCTTAGTAGGTTGTTCTTATGTGTTAACATAGTATGGCCCTGCTGACCCTATTTGATTGTGGATCTCTTTTGATTCAGTCTAAGTTTTCATCTATAGAAAAACACACTGCTATTTTTGTCACCTAATTAAATTCCAGCTTGCCAGTGATTACATTCCACATTCAGAGAGGTGGAAATGTCTCTGACAGTTCATGAATCACATTTGGACACGTGCTGCTGGGTTGGATAGGGGTAGCCACAGGTAGCTTGTCCCAGGTGGCAGAGACCTGTGGTTGGGGCCTCTTTTCCTACACTCCCAGCACTGTCCCCAAGGTTGATAGAGTTAGGATGGATGAATGGAGCCCTAGAGGAACCATCAGTACTTAAAGTCAACTTCTAGTCTTTACCAAATCTCAAGATGTGGGTTGGGGAGCCTTTCTCTTCCTCCCTACTCCCTCATTGTCTTGTTCTAACCAAGCATTGACCAGACAAGAATCTTCTCCTCCTTTGACAGATGGGAAAACTGAGGCCCTGAGAAGAGATGTGACTTGAATAAAGACATTCAAACAGTGACAGAGCTAGTGTTTAAAGTCCCAGGCACCAAATCCCACCCCTTTCCTCCCCCAGAACCCTCCCTCACCTTCTTCCCTATATATCAGTATCATGGGTCTGGGGGCAGAGAATAAAGCCACAGAGGACAGGGTAAGAGCTTTGAATTGTTGGAAGAATATGTAAAGGTCTCCTCAGCCCTCAAACACACGTAGCATCTTCCTCTATTTGCCCAGTCTTTAATTCATTCAAAAATTTATTCAATTACTAGCTTACCCTTTTGCCAGTTTACCTATTCCTTCATTTCACTCATCCACTCAACTCACACATTAATTCACCCTGCCTCCAATTCTCTCATTCCTAATCTACTCACTCATTAACTCCCCCACTCTCCCACTAGGAGCTGGCGCTCACTCATTGTCCTACGCTTGTTCTAGGCTATTGCCATGTCTTTCCAATCTGTCCTCCAGCCTGCAGAGCAGCACAGGCTCCCAGGCCTCCAAAGTCTCTGCCCTCCTTCTATGCTGACTATCTCTTCAACTAGTTTGGGAGGCTCTTGAAAAAATATCAGCAGCAAAGGGCACAGAGAGGCTGAGGACGTAAGACCACGGAGACAGGAGCTGAGGATGGGCCTGCCAGACTGCATAATTTTTCAGGGCCAGGTGCGGCTATGACCCCTTGTCCTAACATCATGAAGGTTGTCAAGAACAGTAGCAAAGCCAGGGGTGGTAATACATTTCTGTAGTCCCTATACTAGGCAAGCTGAGGCAGGAGATCAAGAGTTTGATGCCAGTCTGGAGTAGATAGTGAGTTGGAAGCCAGCCTAGGTCACATAGATTTATTTTTATTATCTTTAAATAGTGGTACAAAGAATTTTCATTCAACATACAAGAGATCTTGTCTTTAAAAAAAGTAACAAAAGGTCTGAGGAATGAAGAGTGTTAGCTAGGTATGGTGTTTTTCTTTTCTTTCTTTCTTTTTTATTTTCTTTTTCTTTTTTCTTTTTTTTTTTTGTCAGTCATGGGTCTTGAACTCTGGGCCTGGGCACTCTCCCTGAGCACTTCAGGTCAAAGCTAGTGCTCTACCACTTGAGCCACAGCGCCACTTTGGTTTTTTGGTGGTTAACAGGAGATAAGAGTCTCACAGACTTTCCTACCTGGGCTGGCTTTGAATCATAAGCCTCAGATCTCAGCCTCCTGGTTACAGGCGTGAGCCACAGGTGCCTGGCTTGGTGTTTTTCTTTCTTTTTCTTTTGCCAGTTGTGGGGCTTGAACTCTGGGCCTGGGCACTGTCCCTCAGCTCTTCTGCTCAAGGTTAGCACTCTACCCCTTGAGCCACAGTGCTACTTCCAGCTTTGTTTTTCTGTTTCATGTGGTGCTGAGTAATCAAACCCAGGTGTCATGCATGTGAGGCAAGCACTCTACCACTGAGCCACCTTCCCAGCCCTTGATGTTTTTCTTATACCATCTCTCTTTTACTAATACCCAAACCACCCTGTGAGATTGGTTATCCATTTTATATAGAAGGAAACTGAGTCTCAGAGAGAAGAATCATTGACCTAGACTGACAACTAGCGGGAGGTAGGCGCCTGAATGCAAACCCAGGTGTGTGGGCTGCAGACTTTATCTTGGCCTATTCTGGGAGGGGGTGGGAGCCAGGGGATCAGTGATGGATGGAGTCTGGCCCCACCAGAGCAGCTGGGAGCAGTGGGGGCTGGTGGTGGGCACCATCAGGCCATTGAGAAACAGGGGAGGGGCAGGAATCCAAACCACCCCACCCCCCTTCTCTCCCAGTGGATATATGGAAACTAGAAGGAAACTGGGCTCCCAGAACAGTGACACAGGAGAGCAGTATCTGGACCTGGAATTTACGTTTCCAACTCAAAGACAGCTTTATCTGTGCAGAAAGCATGGAAGGCAAAGCTCAATGATTTTGGAAGTGATTGAATTTGGGCATCTAGGGTTGACCTGAGCATATGGGAGAATGGCTCAGGAGAATGAACGTGGGGAGTTATGTTGCCTGCCTTACAGAAATGATCACTTAACATTGGTGAGTTAGGGCCCCAACAGTTGTAATTAGCACCCTGGGTGTCAGTCAGAAACCAACAAACAGCCAAATCCCTGCAGGTCTGCCCAGCCCATCCGGCAGCAGGGGACGATTAACCATTAACCCCCACCCCTCCCCACAGAGCCTCCACCCCGAGCAGAGGCTAGGCCCCAACTCCAGGCTGAGCCTCCCAGAGGACAGTTTGAAAGGGAGGAAGGCAGAGAGGGGACCTGGGAGGAGGCAGGGGGAAGGCGGGGGGCGGGGACTGGGGCTCAGCCCAGAGGCTTGGGGTGGGCACCCTGGGCAGGGCAGGTGGCTGAGGCGTGGGCAGGGGAGAATGCGCCTCTCCAAAACCCTGGTCGACATGGAAATGGCCGACTACAGTGCTGCGCTGGACCCAGCCTACACCACCCTGGAATTTGAGAATGTGCAGGTGTTGACGATGGGCAATGGTAGGTGAGGGCAGGTGTACTGCCCAGGTGTGTGCCAGTTGGGGCAGGTGTGCCCAGGGATGGGAACGGATCTTTGGCACTCAACTTCGAGGTGGGAGGAGAATGATAGGAAATGGTAGATTGGTCCTATTATAGGCTGGCACAGGTATTTCCAGGTGAAGCAAATGGATCCGGGTACAGGGGCCAGAGGTATTCTGGGTGAGAAAGACCTACAGGGGCAAATTGCAGCAAACGTAGACCCCTAGGTTTTCTCCAGGCTTTTCCTCAGCCTGTGTGACAGCTCTCCGAGTGTCACCGGTAAAAGGGACACACAACAGCGAGCGCCTCCTTGGTGTCCTGCTTCTGTAATGCAGTCAGACATGGCTCTCTCTTCAGCCCCCCGGGTCTAGGTGAGAGAGATGGGAACGTATATTCTGTTCTTGAAGATGGTTGCTAGAGGCATGAGTAAATTCCAACGTGTCTTTGGGACTTTCTTAGGGGAACTGGAGTTCAGGGACAATGGGATTCTCAGAGAAGGTTTGCTAAGCCAAGGCCAACACAGCTGGGTGTGTTGTGAGTTCATGTGTTGTGTTCCTGCGTTTCCATGTAAGCGTGTGGGCAGGATGATATACTGTGTGGGCAGATGTGTACCTATAGGAACACACTTGTGTTCATTTGTGTGCTGTCTCCATGTCTCTCTGTTCATTGAAAAGGTCTGTCTGTGAGAGACGACTGTTTTGCCTAGCTTCATAAGCGATATGAATGTGTGTATGTGTGTGTCTGTGGATGTTTGTGCACATGTGTTGTGCCTGTGTGTATACTATGGCTGTGAGTGTGGACGTTGTTTTGTGTATACCCAGGATCGTGCCTGCTGAGTACGCACACCCCTCCCCCCACGGCTGGGGCCCCATTTCTCTGATGCGTGTTGAGTGTGTGGATTCCTTCATGTTGCTTTTTGCTAGATGAGATCCGCCTCTGCCACACATTGGTCTGTGTGCAGATGTGGTTGCTTGCGAGTATCTCAACAGAGGGTACAGCTCTGAGGAGGGTGCTAGGAAGTTTCTGGAGAGTAAGGGCCCTTCTGGATGCCTCCATCTCCGAGACCTGAGGTTGTCACTGCCTTCCATCAGTGGCTCTGACTGAACATCCGTGTGAGGCTGTGGCTCTGGCTAAAATCTAGAAAGCTGTGTTTGGGCAGCCAGAAGGAGGAGGCTGTGTCTGGGCATTGCTCCTGGTCTGTCCCACCAGCTGCTCCCCCAATCCCTCTTCACACACTGTTTGACCTTGGATCTGTCACTTCCCCTCTTGGCCTCTGTATTTTCTACAAAATGAGCTCCTTCACCACCAGGTTGTTGAACAGCAAGATTTTAGGAGGCTCCTTGGGAATCATGGGAGAGGCTCCAGGGGAAATGGCAAATGAACTGCTGCCGGCCTGGGGACAGTACACACTCCTGGCGAAGCCCAGGAATCTTGGGCCCCCAAGGCAGAGGCTAAGCCCCTTGGCTGTGTATCCCCAGCACGCTGTTACCTCGCAAGAAAGATCCTTCTTCCTTATGTGAACACAGCACGCCATTTTCCTTCCCAAGCCTCAATTTCCTTCTCTATAAAATAAGGATAAGCAGGGTGCCGGTGGCTCACGTCTATAATCCTAGCTACTCAGGAAGCTGAGATCTGCGGATTACTGTTAAAAGCCAGGCCAAGCAGGAAAGTCCATGAGACTCCTACCTCCCATTAGTCACTAGAAAACCAGAATTGGAGATGTGGTTCAATTGGAGATGTGGTAGAGCACTAGCCTTGAGCAAAAAGGGTTCATGGACAGTGCCCAGGCCCTGAGTTCAAGCCCCATGACCAGCAAAAAAAACAAACATACAAACAATGATAACTAGTAGCCTTGCTCTCAGGCCTCCTCAGAGGATAGTAAGGTTCCTGAGGTTTTTCCCTGGTGGCTGGTCCTGGGCCTCAGGATTGTCTCAAGGACTCTAAGCATCTGCACAAAGGGCTTGCTTTCCCAAAAGCTGGATTTTGCAGTGGCCTAGGAGCTGAGGTTGTGTGAGATTGTCCCCCAAAAGGTACGTTCTGAGCTGGTGGATCTAAGACTCCAAGGACTTTTTTTCTCCTCTCCATCACCTGCTCTCAAATCAGGAGCAGCAGCGAGTGAAGGGGTGTAGTCCTTGTTTCTTAGAGAGCCTGACAGACACCCCAGCCCAGACAGAATGGCCAGAGGAGTCCATCACACCAGCCCCTGTCCTCAGCAGCACAGTGAGTGTAGTGCTGGCTAAGTCACATCATCTCTGAGCCTCAATATCCTCACCTGGAAAATGGGGTGACCCACTGAAGATGGGCATCTGCCCAGGATGGGGGCTCATTGCCAGGCCTCTTCCTGAGTGGCAAGGACTTGTGGGGTCAGCTCTTCCTGGAGGTCGATGGGGGGAGAGGCTGCAGGAGAAAGGGCACCAGTGTGGCTTAACAATTATCCCCATCTCCAGGAATAATTCACCAGGTGGAAGGGGCTGTACTCCTGGGCACACTCGAGTCCTAGGAGATGTTCAGCCAGGAGACTTGGGCACAGAGGCTGAAGTTTCTTCTGCAGAGAAGAAAAATGGCTCACATGTATAGAAAGTGCCAAGCACTTTCACCAGCACTGACTGATCCTCAGAGCCGCCCTTGGAAATCCTGATGCTCCCCGATTTACAAGAGAGGGGGAAATAAAGGCATGGAGAAGTAAACAAACACAGCCAATGCAATACAACCAAATGCACCACTGGGATTTGATAGTCACAGGCCTCCAGCATTACAGCTCTCTCCAATTATTTAGAGTTTCTGTGGAAACACAAAGGCGGGGGGAGTTGTTCCTCTGTGGTGGACAATGGGGTATCGTAGTGTTTATCATTTCTAAAGGATTATCCTAGTAAAAGATTTATTTCCCCCAACAGAGGTGTTTAGCTGCCCCAAATTGTCTAAAAATGAAAAAAACAACTAGACCAATTAAACTACTCACTTTGGGGGGAAACTGAGGCCAGCTAGCAAGAAAAGAGAGGTGGTGGCCCAAGGCTACTAGTTAGCTACAGCATCCTTAGGCCCAGGGTACCTGCTATCCCAGCCACGATGCCCTTCACCAGTGTTGGTACTAGTACAGAGGCTTTGACCTCTGGGATAGGACGTGATCCTGAAGTGCTCAGGCCCAGGCCATGACCCTCCAAGGAGGCAGAGGAATGAGTGGTCTTGATGAGCATGTCTTCCTGCTTCACCAGAAGACTTAGCAAAGTATCTAGACACCGAGCTGAGAAAGCATAAGATTTGGTTCTTGGAGAATATCTGTTCTTGCCTCTTTTCCACAGCCCCAAGTAGGCATCAGGGAGCCTAGGAAGCAACCAGGTCTTTGTAGAAAATGGCTTCCTTCAGAGGCAAAAACACATCTCTCTCATAGAGTATCCCCCCCCCCCCAACAAGTGATCAGCAGTACACTCAGTTCCAATTTATAGATGCAAAACTCACGCCCCAAAAGCCCACGTGACTTGCTGAGGATGCAGAGGGAGGAGGAAGTGGTGGAGCAGTGGTCCTGCTGGGGTCTGGCCTGGCTCATACTGGTCTTTGCTCTTCCTGGAGCCTCACTCCTTCCCTTCTGGCACAGATACATCCCCATCAGAAGGTGCCAACCTCAACGCGCCCAGCAGCCTGGGTGTCAGTGCCCTGTGTGCCATCTGTGGGGACCGGGCGACAGGCAAGCACTACGGTGCATCGAGCTGTGACGGCTGCAAGGGTTTCTTCCGGAGGAGCGTGAGGAAGAACCACATGTACTCCTGCAGGTGAGCAGTCTCCATTTCTTCAGCTGGGACACAGGTGCATTGGAGCTCCTGTCTCCCAGGGCCTCTCTTCTCCTTTGGGGGAGGAGGCAATCTGGCCTTTGAGACCTTCAGACTCTTTTTGGGTCCTTAGATCTTGTGGATCTAGGTGGGAAGAGCTACTGTAGCAACTCCATTTATTAACCTCATAAAAACATGTGACTCCACAAGGCGCGGGTGGCTCATGCCTGTAATCCTAGCTACGCAGGAGGCTGAGCTCTGAGGATTACAATTCAGTGCCAGCCTGGACAGGAAAGTCTGTGACACTCTGATTTTCAATTTTCCACCAGAAAGCCAGAAATGGCTCAAGTGGTAGCACGCTAACTCTAGTAGGCATTTCTGCCTATCCCAAGGGCTTTCCATAGCTTTGGAGATCTCTCGTGTGAAAGCAGCTGCCATTTTGGATAGTAATAAATCACAATGTGGCTCCTGTGCCAGCTCCATCCATGAATTGCCTCCACATCACCTGTCACCACCCCTCTGAGGTGACATCTATTATCTCCATTTTATAGATGAGAAAGCTGTGCCTCGGAGGGTAGGAGTCAGCCAGTCTGGATTAATGGTGGAGCTAGAGTTGACCCTGAACCACCCTCCTCTCCACCCCCTGCCCTCCCACTGCTGTGTGGCCTTGCCTCTACCTCCCAGGCCCTAGAGTAACTTCTATGGGACAAGTATTGACTCAAAGCCATAACCAGGAGCCTGCTGGGGGCTTTGAACTCTCATAGGATGTAGTGGGAGTCACAATACTATGGCACTCAATAGACAAAGATTCACAACTCAGCTCTACTGCCTTCCAGCCGAGCCGACCAGAGCCATGTGTCACCCTCTGAGCCTCAGTTTCCCCATATAGAACAGAATAAATTGTACTCTCAGAGAGTCGATAGGTCCCCTTCCTGGTCCCGATGGGTTAGTATGAGAATTCCTGGAGGGCAGAGATAGAGCAAGAAGGCTTGGGGTGGACCAATGGCCAGAGGCTTCATTCTGTTCTAAGAGTGGGGAAGCTGTCTCTTCTCCATCCAACCATCCAAAGCCCTCTCCAGATTTAGCCGGCAGTGCGTGGTGGACAAAGACAAGAGGAACCAGTGTCGCTACTGCAGGCTTAAGAAGTGCTTCCGGGCTGGCATGAAGAAGGAAGGTGAGCCTCAGCCCTCCCTGCACCCCACCGCCACACCTGCACCCAAGCTCCCCACCGTCATTTACAACTGTAGCCATACTTTATGGCTCAGGGACAGGCCCCAGGGTGACTGGCTAATGGCTGAAAGGAGGGAGGGCCTGGAAACCTGACCACAGGGAGCGGCTGGGCTTGGTCTTGAGAAAGATTCAGAGATAAGCTCCCACTCAGCTACTCAAGCACCCAGTAACTGCCACCAGGCCTGCTTGTGCCACTCATGGTGGCCAGGATAGATGCTCTTGCTTAATATGAGTACTTTAGGCCAGGCTCCAGTAGCTCACACCTGTGTCCTAGCTATGTATGAGGCTGAGATCTGAGGACTGTGGTTCAAAGCCGACCTGGGCATAAAAGTCCATAAAACTCTTATCTCCAGTTAAAAAGCTGGACATGGAGCTGTGGCTCAAATGGTAGAGCAATAGCTTTGAGCACAAAAGCTCAGGGACAGTGCCCAGGCCCTCAGTTCAAGCCCCCAGAATTCACACACACACACACACACACACACACACACACACACACACACACACACACACACACACACAGTTCAAAGATTAGGGAAAGTATAGACTATGAGAAATAGCCAGGTATCTATCACTCAGCCTGCACAAATATGAGCAGCTAAGGTTCTATTTCTGGGCTTCCTGTCCAGAAACTATCACCCCAATTGTCTTCATCCTTATCTTTGGGCATTGGGTGATCTCCAGAGTTCCCCATCTAGACAATAGGAGCAAGACCCATACCCAATTTGCATGGAGGATGGAGAACAGAACATGAACTCATGACTGAGCTGGCTCTTCCCACATTCCATAGGTCCTTTCACTCCTATGACTCTATGGGCGGCCCCTTTCCAAGGCAAGGGGCAACTGAGGCCCAGGGTGGCTAAGCAACTTGCTTGAGGCTCTGCAGCTGCTCAAGAGAACAGTTTAGGTTGGAGCCTAAGCTTTGTGCTGTTGAAAGCCCCTCAGCACTACCTTCTTTATTTCCCACCCTCCCCCGCCCCAGCCCCTGGGAACCATGAAGACTTACATTTGGCCCAAGTTAAGAAAGTGTTGTTGTTGTTGCCTTTTTTAAATTATCTGGTTTTCAAAACAGCCTGAGTTCATTTTCCTATCTCTTCTTTTTTCTTTTCTCGGTTCATGTTATCCAGGTCTTTCCCAAACCTTCACTTCCAGCCTCGGCTTGTGCCATCCTGGCCAGACCCTTAGTCCTTAGTAGAGTCCTGTACACACATGCACAAACTCATCCCAGAAACAGGAGCCCGAGATCCAGGCCAACTGAGATAGAACTGAAGCTTGGTTTGGCCGCTTCCCCATCCCCTGTCTCTGCCCCTGAGCCCCTTTTCTCTGTCCCTTCCTCAAAGTATTTTCTGTGTGATCTCCACAGCTTAGAGGGAGCTCAGGGACACTGATGGAAATCAAGGCCCGACAGTCCTGTATGTACCACAAATCTAACAGACTTCTCTCTGCTAGTCTGATGGAGAAAGGGCGTGATCCAGTAGCCAATGCCCCCCCCCCCCACCCTGTGGTTTTCTATGGGGATGAGGCTCTCTTGCCCACCCTCCTCCCTGAGATGAGGAGAACTTTGTGGAATGGGAAATGGGAAAGGGAATGTAGGTGCTTGTCTTGGCATTGGTGGTAAGACTGGGAGTTCATAGTCTAAGGGCCAAATGTTCTATAGTTTTAAGATTTTAGGCCCAGGGCCTGTTCAGAGGGTGCTGTGTTTGAGAAGACTCTCTCAGACAGAAATATCAGCAGGCAGGAGGGGTTGGTAGCTCCCCGGAGCACAAGACTATATGTGACCTGGTCCTGCTGTGATAGTTCCTTATAGATGTCTCTAGTTAAACAGACAGATTCATGTTCACCTGAGTCACCTGAGGGAAGTTTCCGCCCACTCTGGCCCTCAGTTTGCCCATCTGTAAGTTGAAAGGGTTAGGTATTGAGGCACAGTGCCAACTAGCCCAAACTTTAGGTCCTGGAAGGGAAGAAGGTCTTGGGCCACCTCATGTAAGCTTAGCCTTAAACACAGCTGCTTCATTGGTGGACCTGGACATTGGGTACCCCATCCAGACAATAGAAGATTCAGGCAAGCTAGTGAACACTAGCATATTTGCATGCCTGGGCTAGCTGGAATGGATCAGCTTTGAGAATGGATCAGGGTGTTGTGTAACCACTGTGGGTGAGCCCTGGGAAGTTAGGGCTGGCTCTACTTCAATCTTCCAGGCCCCGAATATCTATACCTGGCCTGATGGGTAGTTCCTAAAGCCAAGTGCAAGTAAAGTTTCACTGACCAGGACAAGTAGGGATAAATTTTCATTTCTTTCCCTTTCAACCCCTCCTGTCAGAGGATTTGAGGACTAGACCTTAAAGGTCCATTAGGACCAGAAAGTGAGAGCTTGGAAATATAGGGTTTATAGACCAGTTAGGTCTAGGAGTTATCAAATATATCCCCATTTCACAGGTGAGGAAACTGAGGCCAGAGAGGTGATGTAATGGGTCAGGGAAGCAATAAGATCTAGAGCACAGGCTTCTGGGAACTATGCAGACGCCAGGCTCTCTGGGCTAAGTTCGAAGTGAACGATCTATTTGGGAGCTATAATCTGATCTCAACTCCTGAAACTCCCTAAGACCCACTGAATCTCATCATAGCCTTGTGAATCATGGTCAGAGGAAGTCTCCCTGAGGCTGGAAGAGGCTTCTCCAGAAAAAGAATGGGTAGGGAGAGGGGAAAACATGGGGGTCAATCAGTAAGCTAACAGCTGGCAGAGAATTCTGTCCTATAAATATGGCTGGGGAAAGACACCTGCCTAGTCTTGGCTCTTCAGCCGGGACAAAGGTTCAGCTCTTGGCATCAGAAACTAGACCAAAATGTAGGGCCAGGGGACATAGGAGGGACAGGTTGGTGACAGCCCAGAGCCATCTGATGGAACCTTCCTTAGAAGCCTAGCTCTGCCCCTCCCTCCTCCAGGCTCCGCTCAAGGGTCCTCTAGGAAGACGAGCTCATCCTCTTCTCTACCTCTTCTCCATCAGTTAATATTCAATAGAAGTTACATTAGGTCCCCGACCCTGCTAATACTGAGCAAACATTTGGAAAACATCATTCCGTGACTGAGCTTGCCTGGGCGCTGATAAGGCCGGCTAACCTTGAGGAGCTGACAGAGCCTTTCATTCTGCCCGCCTCTGCGCCTCACCTGCCCCTGTGGGTGCTGGGTGCAGGAGATGGTTGGGCTGGCAAGCCTAGCTGCCAGGGAGGGGTGCAGGAGGAGGCAGGGCAGAGGAGCTCTCCTACCTCAGGATGTCTGATCTACCTCACTGTCCTCCCAGGCTGGGGTGAGATCACTTGCCTTTTATTCTGATTTCCACATGTGTGAAATCAGGTTGAGTAGTTGGGATGTCAGGGTTCCATGGGAAAAAATGGGGTGCTGGTCAAAAAGGGGAGCAGTCTCATCCAACACTGTCTTTCACTCACTCCACAGATCGTTTCTCTTCTCTTCTTTTTTGGCCTGAGACTGGGACTGGAACTCAGTACTTGATGTTGATTGGCTAATCACTCTACCCACTGAACCAGGCCTCCAACCCCTCAACAGATATTTATTGAGCACCTACTACGTGGCAGGCTGTGTCTTAGGCAGCCCACGGGTGGTAACAGTGGAGAAGAGGAATAGAATTCTGGTTTTCTGGAAATCCACTGCTTAGAAAGAGGCAGAGAATAAAGAGGTCCACAAATAATTCTACAGGAAAATGTCTTGAGGAAAAAATGAAGTAGGAGAAGAGCTTGGGGCCGGGCGGGCAGGGTAGGGGGAGTCTGACATTCTTCTGGAAACAAGACAAGAAGCAGCTGAGTCAAGGGAATTCCAGGCAACTGGGAACAACAGGGGCAAAGGCCTTGAGGGTGCATGTGAGTGTGTGGATGTGAGGCGCGCAGGGACAGGTGTGGCCAGGTGTGGCCGAGACAGAGTGAGCAAGAAGTTTGGTGACAAGGGAGACAAGAGGGGAAGGGTGTTCTGAGGAGCTGTGACCTGGCGAGGCATTGCTTCTGAGCAGAGGCACGGGTGACCAGGCTTTGGATCTCTGTGCAGGTCTCTGCGTCTTCTGAGAATTGCACAGCTTTGGGCCCACGGCTAGGAGCAGGAAGGTAGTGAGGGAGGTAGACATGAGGGGTCTGAGCAGGGCAGGAGCAGTGGCTGCTTTGTGAGAATTACTGGCTTCAAGGGTTGAGGACAAACGTGATGGGGAGATCAAAGCCCAGGAGACGCCCCTTGCTTGGGCTTTGGGGTCTGAGAGACTGGGAGACTCCACTTGTGGTTCCTAAAGTGGGAAGGAGCGCTAGGGGCAGGCGAAGGGGCAAAGCTTTGGATGGGGAAACTGAGGCCCCACAGAGGACACTAGTCCTACCAGTACAGGGAGGGAGGAGCCCTCTGGGATTCCAGGGACTGGAAGATGGACTGCCAAGGACTGTCTGGATCAGAGGGGTCAAGGCAATGTGAGCTGGGAGCCAGGTAGATACACGTCCTGGTTCCTGGGTTCTGGAAAGTGCACTGTGCAGGACAGGAGGGAGGCAGCCTGGCCTCTGAAGTTTGGAAGGTGCACAGGGATCCTACAGGAGGAGGAGCCCCTCCTCCCACCCCCACCCCGTCCAGGGCGCCTGCCCCAGGACTATCTCAGTGTCACCTGGTACAACTCAGTTTGCTTGTTTTATACACTTTAATTTGGAAAGAAAGAGACCAGCTTCCAAAGCCAGCCTGAAGGTCTGGGATCTGGACAGCTCTCCCTCCTCCAGGCTCCAGAACCACCACTTGCCCTCTGCTGATCATCACTGGCTCACATTCCTCCAGGGGAATGGGCAGATCACTGCCACCGCCTCGCCATCGCTCCCAGGGAAAGTCCTGATGTCTAGAAAGTTCTCTCATAAGCTAGGTTAGAATCCAGCTCCTCTCACTTTCCCACCCTGAGCTGGGTGCTGCCCTTGTGTTCCCACTCACACCGGTGTTTGCTTCCCTGTGGGTCCTGAGACACCTGCCCCACCCGTCCCTGCCTCTCCTCACCTCTCTGTGCCCCTCACAGCCGTGCAAAACGAACGGGACCGGATCAGCACCCGGAGGTCAAGCTATGAAGATAGCAGTCTGCCTTCCATTAACGCGCTCCTGCAGGCCGAGGTCCTGTCCCAGCAGGTACCAGTCTGGGATTCCCCCGCTCCCCCTGCATTTCTACTGCCGCCAGACCTACCAGCCAGATGTCACAGAAGAGAAGGTCAAATGTGGCACAGCCAGTTTAATAGCAAAGACAGAACCCGAGCACAGAGCTGGCATCCCAGGAGCCCTGCCTTGGTTTAGTTGGCTACCTACATTCCACAGGCCAAACGGATTTTGTTCCCCCTAAAGGTTTGGGATCAGTCTAAAAGAACACAAGAGTGGCCACTACACTGAGGTGGCGAGCTGGGGCTCAGCAGACCCCCTTTGTAGGGTTGTTGAGTAAGAGCCCTTGCTGCCTGACCTCAGGCCAATCACAGCACCTCTCTGGACCACAGTGGTTTCAGCTGAGAGATGAGGAGGAGGAGGATTTTCTCCCTGCTTTATCTCTTGGGCTCTGGAGAGCTGAAAGAGGAGAATGAGGAGGAGGAGGAGGAGGAGGAAGAGGAAGAGAAGGAGCAGAAGGAGAGAGAGGGGGAGGAGGAGGTAGGAAAGGCATCAGGCAAAGGCCCCAAGGGAGACCTCATCTCATCTCCATGTTCTCCCTTCTGTGCCTTTGTGCCCTAAGTTTCCTGCACAGAGAGAAGTTCCCATGCCCTGGCCCCTACCAGACAGGGAACTTTCTGGGGTGTGGCTCTGGGTTAGGGATGGGAAGTGTCAGGAGGACCTGCCACCCAGCAATTCCTCATTTCCCATAGATCACCTCGCCTGTCTCTGGGATCAATGGCGACATCCGGGCAAAGAAGATCGCCAACATCGCGGACGTGTGTGAGTCCATGAAGGAGCAGCTGCTGGTGCTGGTGGAGTGGGCCAAGTACATCCCCGCCTTCTGTGAGCTCCCTCTGGATGACCAGGTGAGGAGTGCGCCGCCACATACGCCAGGCTTGGGCTGGGAAGGTGGCTCAGTGGTAGAGCGCTTGCCTTGCATGCATGAGGCCCTGGGTTCGATTCCTTAGCACCACATAAGCAAAAAAGAAAAAACCGGAAGTGACGCTGTGGCTCAAGTGGTAGAGCGCTAGCCTTGAGCTGAAGAGCCGAGGGACAGCGTCCAGGCCCAGAGTTCAAGCCCCACGACCGGACCAAAAAAAAACAACCAAACAAACAAACACAGACGCCAGGCTGCCAGAGTCCTAACAGCTCACCTGATAGAGAGGCCCTGGTTGGATTTTTACAAAACACACATAGCAATCATGGACACTCAGAACTCAGCACTCAACAACCACTAACTCATTTTTTTTCATCCTAATGACCAAGTGGTAACTACTATTATTCTTCTCATCTCCCATTCTTCTCATGGGTAAAGAAATGGGCACAGAGAGCCTAAGTAACTTACTCAAGGTCACATAGCTGCCAGGGGTTAGAACCAACCAAGGAAGCTCCAAAGTCCAGGTTGCTAACGAGTACACCATACAGCTCTCCTGGTGGGGGATGTTGACAGGGACCCAGGAGCTAGGGATCAGGTGATTCAGGCTTGAGCTCTGGCTCTAAAACCAGTTCCCTGCCTACATGATCCTGAGCCAATTATTTCCTCTCTCTGAGGCTCGGTTTTCTTATCTGTCAAGTGGGAATTAATGATCTACTTTAGAGTATTGTCAGAAAGACGAAGGATGTTCAATGATTTAAAAGGTGCAAGTAAGCCAGGTGCTGATGGCTCATGCCTGTAATCCTAGCTACTCTGGAGGCTGAGATATGAGGATCGTGGTTCAAAGCCAGCCCAGACAGGAAAGTCTATGAAACTCTTATCTCCAATAAACCACCAGAACACTGGAAATGGCACTGTGGCTCAAGTGGTAGAGCGCTCGCCTTGAGCTGAAGAGCTCAGGGACAGCGCCCAGGCCCAGAGTTCAAGCCCCATGACCAAAAAAAAAGGGTGCAGGCATAGAATCACATAATGGAGCAGGCATGACCAGACCGCCACTGCCTTCTTCAGTGTTACTCTCTTCCTTATATTGATAAGACCATTGAACCCAGCTCGTAATTTCCCTTATGCCCCTTCCCGACAATCCGGAGAGTGTTTCAGGGAGGGAAAAGGCTAGGGGGAAGTTGGTGTGTGTCTGGGGTCAGATGAGTTTCTGGGGGTGCTACATGGGACAGCTCCCGCAAGATCTACCTTGGCCTCTGCAGACATCTTCCCTTCCCCGGGTGAGGGCAGATGACCCAGGCCACCTTCCTGGCTTCGGAAGAAGCACCTGACAATGCTTAAGAGAAGCCTTGCAGCCAGGCAGCTGTATCTCTTGGTGGAGAGAGTCTCCCCCGAATACCGACAAACTCCTGCAATGTGCCCACTGTAAGACACTGGTCTGGCTCCTCAGACCTCAGGGCTGGACAGGGACCGTGATCCTTGGCTGCTTCTCTCTCTTAGGGATCGCATCTGAATGTCCACAGCCTTCTTCTCCTGGCTCCTTGTGCTCTTGCCCTAACCCCTCTTCTGGAGAGCCCACATTAATATTTAACCCCCCTTGTTCCTTCCCAGGGACTTAGCAGGACAAGATACCCCCAAGCTGAACAATTGTTAACCTCTATTTCCCACCCAAACCTCCCTGGCTGGGGCTCAGAGCATTCTCAGAGGGCAGTGATGGGTGGCCAGTCACACAGGACAATCATTAACATGCCCCCACCTGCCCCCCCCCCCCAGTATTGCTACCATATCTGCGAGTTGGACCCAGGGACCCATTCATGGTACAAAAGGGCCCCATCTTGCCCAGCACAGGCAGGGCCCACCTGAGAGATGAGGAGGCCTTGTCCTCTTTGGTTGATGTCACTGGAATCAGCTTCCAAGTCTGTGTGGGCTCATCAAGCCACTGAGACCTACAAGGTTGGGTTCCACTGGAAAAGTAGGTTGGGGCCTAGAGAGAGAACTTGCTTGGCTGAAAAGTCACGGAGCAGGTTGGCCAAGAGCTGAGAAGCCAGGTTCCCTGCCATGCAGTTTGAAAACAGCAGTAATAAACAGCCTTTGCTTCCCAACACCCAGAGGGGATGTATGATCCAAATGGTAGAGCACCAGCCTTGAGGAGAAAATCTAAGAATCCCAGGGAGGCTCCTGTAGCTGTGCACAAGAACACATGTAGGTGTGCACACACAGAACACACCTTTACTATTCTTTCTCTCCTTCATTCAAAGATCTACCAAATTTGTAGAGTGTGCCAATGTTCTTCCATGCCTTAGAGCCATTGTTCCTTCTTAAAGAGGCCTACCTGGCCTCGTAACACACAACTCTCACCTTTCTCCCTTCTCCTTTCCCTCCTTTCCCTTTCTATCTCTATTTTCCCCACATCTCTCTTCCATCCACTCCCTGCCTGACACTTAACAGATACCTCACATTTGCTAACTGAAATAATAGGCAGTTAAGTGAATGAGTCCATGGCAGCCCTTTAAAGTTAAAGATGCTGTTTAGCTTGCTACAGATTCACCAGCCTCACACACGTCACCAAGATGCAGGCAGGTTCTAGAGGCCACCAGCCTGCTGCTACTTTCCTCCCCGCCTCCTCCCGCCCCAGTACCTCTTTGGTTCCTACACAAGCATTCATTAAGGCAGATAGCTCAAAAGCACAAAGTACATCCTCCTAGGAGTTGGCTGGGCCCATCCTCCAACTTCAGTCTTCACAGGCTGCTGGGCTTCACCATAGGGAAGGGGCCTGGCACGATTCCCTGCCTTGGGGAGAGCCAACATCCACAGGCAAGTTCTTGTAAGGCGCTCCTAAGATCCTACAAGTTTACAGTGTCAAGTGGACAGATCCCAGATCTTCTGGGCCAGTGACTTTCCAAGCTCCGTGGAACTTCTGAATGAGCAGGTGGGAGGGGGAGAGTTGCCAAGTGCAGGTTTCTGGGCCTGCCTCCTCCCCCCAATCAGAACCACTGATCATAGGCCTAAGAATCTGAATTCCCATACAGTGCCTTCCAGAATTCTTCCTAGCAGGCCCCTGGGTAGGGAGTTGGAACCCATAGTTTTAGAATGTCTGGGGCAATGACTCTTGGAAGTCTGTTGAAAGCTTCTGAGCTTCAACTCAAAAGAGTACACACAGAACATGGCCTAAAGTTACCCCCAGCTACCCAGATGAGGCCTAAGAAGCAGCTGTACCCAAAGATTGGGCTGTTCTGGGGTGTAGAAAACGTCTAGTTCTGAGCACATGTGCTTCTCCCCTACAGAGGTCCACCTTTCCAGGTCTCTTACCAGTGATGGAAGGAAAAACAGCAGCTTTTTAAAAAAATATATAATTTTTATTGTTATTCCTAAGGGCTTGTACAGAAGGGTCACCATTTCATAAGTCAGGTCATGAGAGCATGTCTCTTTTTGGACAAGGTCACCTCTCCCTTCACTTTCCCCATTTCTCCCTCTCATCCCTGCCCACAAGTTACATAGCATGATTACATTTGTTCATTCTCCCTCCCTCCCTTTGCACCCCCTAAAAATCCAAAAGCAAAACCAAACACCAACACTAACAACAACAACAACATCCCTCCCCCACAGTATAACCCCTGCTTTCACTATATTTGATGTCGGTATAATTTGTGGAGGAGATGGGGAAAAACAAGTCGTTTAAGGATACAGGTGGACCCGTTGCAACAATGAGAAGTACAAGTTGTCATGTCGAAAACGAACTTTACAACTTTGGGGGGGGGGGGGGAGGGGAGGGATTGGGGGGGTGGGGGAGGCTAGGAAGGGATGTGAAGGTAAACAAAGGAGGAGGCTGCAATGCTTGATAAGAAATATACTCATTATCTTGCCCATGTAATTGTAACCTCTCTGTACAGTATGTTCACAAAAAATAAAAAAATAAAAATAAAACAACAACAACAACAAAAGCCCGTGTTTCCATTTCCTGGAGCTCATTTTAATAGATAGTATTTTAAATGTTCAGATGTGTTATGTCCCCAAAGGGATATCCTCCTTTAGTTTGTTTGTATGTGAACTGTTCTGTATAGTTTATCATGTCCTGTTATGTTTTAGATCTAGCTTCTACATATGAGAGAAAACATGCACTATTTGTCTCTCAGAGCTTGGCTTACCTCAGTGTGATTTATTCTAGGTCCATCCATTTCCCTGAACATGACATAATCTAGTTCTTCTAGTGGATGAGGGAAGACAGTTTTATAATGCCCAATTTAGAATTCAGACACTTAAAGGCATTTAGGACCGTTGAGCGGACTTTCCCAGGATTGCTGAATTGGCTAGGAACAACCTTTCTAGGGACAGAGATGCCAAACCCATCCCTTCTCTCTTCCAGGTGGCCTTGCTCAGAGCCCACGCTGGCGAGCACTTGCTGCTGGGAGCCACCAAGAGATCCATGGTGTTCAAGGACGTGCTGCTCTTAGGTAAGGAGGCTGCCTGCCCCAGCCAGGGCTCTATGGAGGTCATGCCCTGCATGGCACATACCCAAGCAGAGGACATCTCCATGGTGACACAGAGGGTGAGGAGGACAGATCAAATGTGGCCCTGTCCTTGGGCTTGCCAGTAGAGGATTCCAGAGTTCAGCTCTCAGTGAATCTGAGTTTCCCACTCAAATGCAAGGAAATAAGAATGCAAGAAAATGATGAAAATCCCCACGGCTTCACATTAGAACACAGTCTAACCCCGTAGTCAGCCCTGCCTTCTGATGATCTTTGTGCTGTAGGAGCCAGAGGTAGTCAGGAATGGTGCAACACCCTCCACCCCAGACAGCTCACCTGGGTCTTCAGATCGTATTTATTAAGAGCTTGGATAGCACACACCATAGGCCAGGAGCTATACAAACTACAAACTACTCTCTCTCTTTTTCTCTCTTCCCCCCTCTGATCATGGAGCTTGAACTCAGAGCCTGAGCACTTGCCCAAGGCTAGTGCTCTATCACTTCAGCCACAGCTTCATTTCCAGTTCTTTGGGTGGTTAATTAGAGATTAAAAGTCTCACAAACTTTTCTCCCTGGGCTGGATTTGAACCATAATCCTTAGATCTCAGCCTTCTAAGTAGCTAGGATTACAACATGAGCCACTGATGCCTCGCTGACAAATAACTCTTTTAATACAACAATGCTACGAGGAAAGAGTGATTGATTCATTGTTTGATGGACTGAGGACTGAGCCAGGGTCTTGCATGTGTTAGGCAAGCTCTATACCATTTAAGTCAGCTCCAGGAAACTACTATTTATGCCCATTTTACAAGCGAGAAAACAGAACAATTGAGCTTCTGTAAACATACCCAACTATATGTGGTAGATCCATTCAACATGAATGGCCCAATTCTAGAATTTTCTAACCTTGATACTTTTTGTGCCTTCTGAGAGGGCCCTGAACTGCTTTCAAACTTTAGTTATGTTGTAAAAAGAATGGTGATACGATAAGGAATCCCCTGAAAAAACAAGTTCCAAGCATCACCTGATGACTCCAGACAACTCACCCTCTTACTCTTGGCCTCCAAGTTTTAAATCCATAACATGAGATCATGACGATCCTGGGGGATCACTTAGGGCACCAGTGGCCTTCCAACTTCAACCCAAAGTGATGACCCCATCCTCTCTTTCCCTCTTACCTACCCAGGCAATGACTACATCGTCCCTCGACATTGCCCGGAGCTGGCAGAGATGAGCCGAGTGTCCGTCCGCATCCTTGATGAGCTGGTCCTCCCTTTCCAGGAGCTGCAGATCGATGACAACGAGTATGCCTGCCTCAAAGCCATCATCTTTTTTGACCCAGGTATCATGCGTACCTCCTTATCCATCCCTGATTTGCTAGGCTGTCTGTCAGCCTTCCTCTGCTGTGTTCGTTTCCCTGTATTGTCACGACAGCCAGGACAGGCCATTTTCATCAGCCCCAAGGTTCAGCAAATCAAGGTTCAAAGGGGTGATGGGTCTTGGCAAGGACTGACTCTGAAGATCTGAGGTTCTCGTCCCCTCCTCCTCTTCCTGTCTTCTTATTTCCTCTCTTCCTTCTTTCCTTTCCTCTTTGCTTCTTTGAGACATCAAAACATTCTTTACTACTACAAGTTTAATCATCACCTCAACAGCTCCAAATGACCTGCTATCCGGGCACAGTGGTTCATGCCTATAATTCTAGCTACTCAAGAGGCTGAGTTTTGAGGATTGTGGTTCAAAGTCAGCCTGGGCAAGTAAATCCTGAGAGACCCTTATCTCCATTTAACCAGTAAAAAAATCCAGAAGTAGAAGTGGTTCAAGTGGTAAAGCACCAGCCTTGTGTGAAAAAAGACAAGCAAGGATACAAGGCCCTGATTTCAAGGCCCAGTACATATAAACAAATGAGAGAGAGAGAGAGAGAGACAGACAGACAGACAGACAGACAGACAGACAGAGAGGGAGAGAGAACTGATAAGTCTTATGTCTGGTTTGATTGTTGTTTGTGGTGCCAGAGATCAAACCCAGAGGCAATTGCTCTACTACTGAGCTATACCCACAGCCCTTCCTTCCTTCCTTCCTTCCTTCCTTCCTTCCTTCCTTCCTTCCTTCCTTCCTTCCTCCCTTCCTCCCTTCCTCCCTTCCTTCCTCCCTTTTTTCCTTCCTTCCTTCCTTCCCTCCTTCCTCCTTCCTTCCTTCCCTCCTTCCTTCCTTCCTTCCTTCTTCCCCCCCTCCTTCTTCCTGTCTTTCTTTCTTTCTGTCTTTTCTTTCAGTGGTACTAGGATTTGAACTCAGGGCCTCATACTTGCTAGGTAGGCACTATATCATTAGAATCCTGTCCCCAGCTCCTCGTATTTCTTGACTTTGATTATTTAGATCCTATTTTTTTACCTATCCTGGGTACGAGTTTTTTGGTTGGTTGTAAGGCTTGAACTCAGACTGTCCCTTGAGCTTTTTCACCCAAGGCTGGCACTCTATCACTTTGAGCCACAGTGTTACTTCCAGTTTTTGGATAGTTAATTGGAGATAACAGCCTCACAGATTCCTCTGCCCAGGCTGGCTTTGAACTGAGATCCTCGGATCTCAGCTTCTTGAGTAGCTAGGATTACCAGTGTGAGCCACCAGCACCTGGCTTCCTGCTAAGAATTTTGCCCTTCTCCTTCGCTATCTTGTTTCCTAATTTTTCCTATTCTTTTCTAAGTTTTGGCAAGAATTTAGTTTAACATAATAGAGTTAAAGTAGAAAGAAACGGAAAATGATAGAGAAACATTTCCTGTTTACAGTACAGGAAATGTGAAGCCTCAGGACCCGCACCAAAAAAAAAAACAAAAAAAAAGATGAACTTGTGACGCACCCATTGGACCTGCTCCAAAAGCCCTCTAGCTCTTCTTCCCTACTCCTGTGGTTTGTGTTTTTGGAAATGGGATCATGGCCTAAGCCTGGGAAGCTACTGTTGGTGCCAGTGTAAGGGAGCTGTTCAGACCCTCCCTACCCCCAGACCCAAATCCTTAACCCCAGTTCAGGTTCACTAAAGCTCTCAATCTGAGCCCCACACATCAGGGGGCGTCAGGGCTATGCGGCCCCTCCCTGCCCACCTCTCCCATTGCAGATGCCAAGGGCCTGAGTGACCCGGGGAAGATCAAGCGGCTGCGCTCACAGGTGCAGGTGAGCCTGGAGGACTACATCAACGACCGCCAGTATGACTCCCGGGGCCGCTTTGGCGAGCTGCTGCTGCTGCTGCCCACGCTGCAGAGCATCACCTGGCAGATGATCGAGCAGATCCAGTTCATCAAGCTCTTTGGCATGGCCAAGATTGACAACCTGCTGCAGGAGATGCTGCTGGGAGGTCTGTACTGGGCCCGGCTGGGGGGCAGCGTGTCAGGAGATAAGCCACACACACTCCTGAGCTAATCAATCTGTCTCCTGGCACCACCTTCCTGGGTATTGGTTTTCCTCAGAGAAATGGGGACAAGGACAGAGGTCCATTTGTTCAGGAGCCTAATGTGTGTGTGTGTGTGTGTGTCTGTCTGTCTGTCTGTCTGTGTCTGTGTCTGTCTGTGTGTGCATACATACACACGTGCATTTGTGTGTGTGCGTGCGTGCTTGTAGGCAGACATGTGTGCAGAAGGGCTCATGAGAACAGATAATAACCAAGTGTATAATAAAGACAATCAATATGCAGGCCATAAAATAGAGTTTAACTGAACAGGGGCCTCTTCAGATAAGTCAGCCAAATGATGACTTCCATGTTAAGACCCACTGGGTCAAAGGAAAGAGAAGACTTAAAAGCCAAGCATAGAACATTTCAAGCAGAAGTAACTAGTTTCAGGTCCCCAAGACAGATAGGTTTGTGGGTCTGAGAAGAAAGGTTAAGGCGCAAGACAGTGGTTATACAAGCTAAGATGGAGATAAGGCAGAAAGTAAACTACAAAAATAAGACTTTGTAAGCCATGGTCAGAAATTTGGGTTTTAGCCAGGTATAATAGTACACACCTGTAATCTCAGCATTTAGGAGAGTAAGACAAGTTCAAGGCCAGTCTGGGCCAAAAGTTCACAAGACCTTTATCTCCACCAACAAACCAAGTATAATGGGTCATACCTGTGATCCTAGCTAATTCAGAAACCATCAATAGGAGGAGTCTGATCTAGGTCTGCCAGGGGCAAAAACACAAGACTCAATATGAAATATAATTGAAACAAAAAGCATGTGTCTTAAGTCATAGAGCCCTTGTCTAGCAGTCTTGGAGCCCTAGTCTCAAACCTCATTACCATCAAAAAGAAAAAATGAAAAGAAAGAAGAGAAAGAACTTGGATTTTATTCAGCTTGATGAGACTGAAAATCAGACTATTTTAAATAAACTACTCTGATTGTTGGGTTTACAGTGACGTTCAAGAAGTGCTATAAACTGTGGCTGGCCTATAAAAAAATACTCAATAATAGTTTTTTATTACTAGCTCTGGTAGTGCATGTCTGTAACTCCAGAACTCAGGAGGCTGAAGCAGAAAGGGATCTCAAGTTCTAAGCTTAGCCTGGGACACATTAAGGTCCTGTCTCAAAAAATATATTTCTTGGGCTGGGAAGGTGGCTCAGTGGTAGAGCGCTTGCCTTGCATGCATGAGGCCCTGGGTTCCATTCCTCAGCACCACATAAGCAAAAAAAGGAAGAAGCCGGAAGTGGTGCTGTGGCTCAAGTGGTAGAGTGCTAGTCTTGAGCTGAAGAGCTGAGGGACAGCGCCCAGGCCCAGAGTTCAGGCCCCATGACCGGACCCCCCCCAAATATATATATATATGTGTGTGTGTGTCTTATTAGTTAGCCTCTCCAGTTATGTGAAGGAAGGAAAAAGGAGCTCAGGCAAAGCAGTGTAGTAAACCTGACCACCTGTTTGGAGGAAGAGCCCACAGGACCTACTGGTAGATTTGAGTTGGGAAGTCACCGGAAGAGGAAGTCAAGGGGACTCTTTATGCTTTGAGTGGTAGAAAGGATGGTGGGGGGATTCACTGAGATAAGGAAGTCTGGAACAAGCCTTGAGGCTGGGTCTGGACCATGGTCAGAGCCCACTCAAGAGATCCATTCTGAGTTGATCATGAGAAGACTATTGACAGCCCAGGAGACAAGTAACATAGGATCTGATGCCTGAGCTCAGGGGGGAGGCAGCTTATGGCTTTCCAGCATTTAGGAGTAAGGAGAAGGCGGCTAGGGAAGAAGTCCAGCCAGGGGTGATAAGAGAAAACCAGAGAAAATCCAGGGTCCAGGACAACAGTAAGGCAGGGCATTTAATGGCATTAAATGAGAGAGAGAAAGAGATGGGGAGGGAGGAAAGAGAAAGAAGCGGGGGGGAAGAAAGGAAGAGTCCACTGACGGCAACATGGAGGTTCTCTGCATCCAGGGAAGAGCAGAAGCAGAGGATTATGGGAATGGAAACCAGTTAACAGTGAGCAAGTAAGACAGTGAGAAAGCGAAGGAGAACAACCTTAGAGAACATTTCACTACAAGAAAGTTGAGGCCGCTTCAAGGGAGTGATTATGGAGATAGACATACTTGGATACACCCACAGGGATAATAGCTAATGGAACAGAGCCCTCGGTAGGACTGAAGAATGTCATGTTGCTGGATGGAGTGAGCTAGGAGGATGGGGGGTGAAATCAAGGTGAGAATGCTTGAATGTGAGGTGGTGGTGATGGTACGGCCTAGAGCAAGGGTACTCATCCTTAGTGCTGCTGCCATTTGGTTATTCCTTTTGTTGTTATTGTTGTTTTGTATTTTGGTCTGAGACCAGGACTCAAACTCAGTACCTGATGCTTTTGCTTATTGGCTAGCACTCTACCAACTGAGCCATGCCTCCAACCCCAACACTGTTGATATTTGGGACTGAGTGGTGCTCAGTGTGGACTGTCCCAGGCCTTGTTTCGCTGCCTCTCTGGTCTCTGCCCATGCAATGCTAATAGTACTTCTGTAGCAATGTCAACCCAAAATGTCTTCAGACTTTGTCAGAATGTCTCCAGTGGGAACACATTCCTCCCCCCACTGAGAACACAGTGGCAGGGTAGATCCTCTCGCACTCACCTGGAGCCTGTGAACAATGAGATTGTTCTGGATTGGTTGTTACTGGGATCACAGTCAGTAGCTATGGTCTGTGGCCAGGTAGACTTAGGTGAGATTATCTCTTTGGATGCTTTCATCTCACCTGTGGAATGGGGTTCTAGGATAATCGTGAGGATAAAACATGAAATAAAGCAGTATAAAGGACTTCCATATCAGAGAGTGAACTCTGAGAGCAATTGACTTCATCCAATCTATGACTCTAATGAATGCATTACTCATCATATATAATCTCAGAGCTCCTGAGATTGCTTCTGGCTTCTTCCAAATCACTTTTGTTCTCTTGGCCCTGTGGAGTCTCTGAATAACCCCAGGAAGTCTATGGGCAGGAGTGGTGAGTCCTAGTTTACTAACCCAGGAGTAGGTCTTCGAAAGGTACTGCCGGTGTTACATGGCTGTTACCCCAGATTCACCATCCTGACTTGACCCCTCTCTACCTACAGGGTCCTCCAGTGATGCACCCCACACCCACCACCCCCTGCACCCTCATCTGATGCAGGAACACATGGGAACCAATGTCATTGTGGCCAACACAATGCCCACTCACCTCAGCAACGGACAGATGTGTGAGTGGCCCCGACCCAGGGGGCAGGCAGGTGGGCACCATGGGCTCTACTGGGTGAGGGGGGAGGACAGGGCCTAAGAAAGGAGCAGGAGCCGGATGCTGGTGGCTCACGCCTGTAATTCTAGGTACTCAGGAGGCTGAGATCTGAGGGTCGCAGTTTGAAGCCATCCCAGGCAGGAAAATCCAAGAGCCTCTTATCTCCAATTAAGCACTGGAAAATCAGAAGTCAAGCTGTGGCTTGAAGTTGTAGAGCATTAGCTTTGGGCTAAAAAAAAGGTCAGGGACAGAGCCCAGGCCTTGAGTTTAAGCCCCACAACCAACAAGAAGGAAGGAATGAAGGAAGGAAGGAAGGAAGGAAGGAAGGAAGGAAGGAAGGAAGGAAGGAGAAAGAAAGGAAAGAAAGAAGAAAGAAAGAAAAAAGAAAGGGAGATGGATGAAAGGAGGGAGGGAGGGAGAAAGGAAAGGAAGGAAGGAAGGAAGCAGGAGAAGGTTGAGTCGAGCAGATAGTACCAGGAAACAACTCTGTGTTTTAAGGCCGGGAATAAGGGGTGAGATTGTCTATTTGTTAAAGCTATTTATTTAGGGAGGCTGTTTATACAATGAGATGATTGACAACCTCTACCAAATGAAGCTAGCTGTCCTTGAGATGAGGCAAGCCATTGGATGAGGTGACCGTTGGGTAACAATTCCATCAGATGACATTGGCCATTAGGTAAAAGTTTCCACTGAAGTAAAGCTGCCCAACTTTGGAAGGTTAGTCATTACACAATTAGAAAGAACTGAGCATGGTGGCACATGTTTGTAATACTAGCATCAGAAGGCTAAAACAATAGGATCATGAGCTTGAGGCAGCCTAAGCTACATAGCTCCACGCCAGCCTGGGCTATGTAGCAAGCACCTATCTCTAGAAACCAAAGGATGAGGACATAACTCAGTGGTAGAGCACTTTCCTACCATGTGCAAGGTCCTGGTTTCAATCCTCAATACCACAAAATAAAAATAGAAGTTGCTCACACCCATAATCCTAGCTGCTAGTCAGGGGGCCTTGACCTGTGGATCCCAGTTTGAATTCATCCTAGGCAGAAAAATCCTTGAGACTGTTATCTCCAATAATAAAAAAGATGCAGATGAAATTGTGGCTCACATTGTACAGTATCAGCCTTGAGCTAAATAGCTAAGGGAGAGCTTAAGGCTCTGAGTTCAAGTCCCAGTAAAGGCACACAAAAACTAGAGGATTATCTATTGGGTAAAGATATCCACTGGGCTAGACCATCATCTGAGGAGAAATTGCTAAAATTATTGAAACTGATTAATTCATCAATCAATTCAAAGAACTGATTCATCAATGAGATGAGGTAACCTATTGAGAAGAAATGAAAATTCATCAAAATTGTTCTTTTGGAAAGTTTCCCACTGAATAAAGTTAACCAGTTGGGTGAAAGTTGCTCTCCCAGCATTGACAGAAGTAAGGCCAAGAAGTTTCTGTTCCTCAACTTGTAACTATCAAAGAAATGGTATTTTCTGAACCAGTTAGCCCTGGGTCTCAACCACTGCTCCTTCTCCCAGAAATACATCTCATTGATCTTGGGGACCGTGAGACCTAGATCCTACCTGGCTTGGGAGAAGAAGCTCAAATCTTCATATCAGATGATGAAACATTGAGTGAGAAACTTCTAGACTTCCAAGAACTTAGATTTCATGATTTGAGACTCATAGATAGGTTTGAGTCATGAGACACACTAAAAATGATCTGGGCTGAGAATGTGGCCTAGTGGTAGAGTGGTTGCCTAGCGTGCATGAAGCCCTGAGTTCGATTCCTCAGTACCACATAAAAAGAAAAAGCTGGAAGTAGTGCTGTGGCTCAAGTGGTAGAGTACTAGCCTTGAGCACAGAGAGGCTCAGGGACAGTACCCAGGCCTGAGTTCAAGCCCCAGGGCCAGAAAAAGAAAATTATCTAGACTAATGATCTCATTTGATAGAAGAGCAAATTAAGCCAGGGCGAGGAAAGGACTTTCTCACGACTTCTTCACAGACTCCCACGAAGGCAGGGATTTTGAGCAGCTTCTGTTTCTTTGTCCCTTCAGCCACACCTGAGACTCCACAGCCCTCCCCGCCAGGCGGCTCAGGGTCTGAGCCCTACAAGCTCCAGCCAGGAGCCATCACTACCATCATCAAACCACCCTCCGCCATCCCTCAGCCGACCATCACCAAACAAGAAGTCATCTAGCAAGCTTCTGGGGGGTCAGGGCTTCGTCCCAGCCCCACCAGGTTTTTGATCTGGGGATCAAAACCTGGTCACCACAAAGGAACATGTGACAGCAAGGCCAGCCCCAGAGCAACAATGGAAAGGGTGCTGGGCCCAAGACCCGCTGCCACCCTTGGCCTTGTGACCTGGATGACACAGTTTTGCCTTGTGGGAGGCCCCAGCTGGGAAATTCTCACTGCCGTGGACCACATCTGTCATTTTGAAGTCACTGCCTTCACCTCCATATCTACTCGACCCCCTCCCCCAACCTCTTCACCCTGAAAGGATGATTGTCTGAAGATATGGGACCTTGTCCAAACACAGCTCTCAGCTTTCCCAGTTGGTGCTGGCCCTGAGGTCCGAGCACAGAGCCCCTGAGGTTGGGTCAGCTGGTGGGTCCCCATATGTCCCTTCTCTTCACTGTCACCTTCCTCAGTCATTCTAGATGCCTTCTATAAACCCTGACTGAGGCAGAGGGTAGGGGTCCCCCATTCCTCTCTTCTGATCCCACCATACTTCCCTTGCTCAGGCCCTGGGCTACCTCCTCAGAGTGTTGGTCCCCAAGAGAGCAACCCAAGGCTGGTGACTGCCATAGGAACCTGGAGAGAGGACAGGAACGGCCAGGGAGAGCATCTAGAGAGAAGCAGGTTGTCACTTTGTGGCAGGGTGGAAGCAAGGCTGGTAGAGCGGGTGAGACAGGACAGTGGGAAGGAGAGAGCCTGGACCACGGTGCGGATGTGCGGAGGATCTGGAGAGGGACCTGAAGAGTGCTAGGTAGGCAGAGATGGGAAGGCTGGCAGACTTCAAGGTCAGCTGAAGGTCAGGGGCTGCAGTGATGCTGGAGAGAGCACCAGAGCCTGGGGGTGGGTGGGTTAGAGGATCCCCAAGTGGAGTAATGGCCAGAAGGAAGCACCTTCCCCCCAAGCCCTGTCTCAAACACTTGCTCACTCCCAGGTGCTGCCCTAAGGCATCATCCCCAAGACTCCTTCCTCTTGCCTAGAAATTGCTACAGAAAATGAAATTGAGTTCTAAGGGTTAAGCGATCTTTTGTCAGTGCCACATCCCGGTCAGGACTCAGTTCTCCCTAATCAGAGCAGATCTTACTCATCTGAAAGGACCTTCCACTTCCCACTGTGATTAAATCAAAACACTTCCTGATCCTTCACCAGCCACAAACATAAAAGGTTTCTTCTTTCTAGAAGTCTTGCCCACTGCCAGGTCTAAAGTCCCCTGAAGCTCCAGAATCCTGCTTGCTGATAAATATGAAGGAGAATTCATGAGTCCTGACCCCTTTTCTCTCTTGACTCCGCAGGTCTGGGGGAGGGGCAGTGGGGACTTGGTTGCTGAGAGGCAGACAAATGGAACTTGACAGTGTAGGGATGGGACAGTTTGGGTGAGGGGCAGGGGAAATGTTTGAAAGCCTGGGATCATTTCTTGAAATACTAAACCCTAAGATGGAGCAGCCAGTGCCTCATCCCTTCCCATATCTTTGGGAAGAGTCTAGAAAGTTCCATTTGGCAGTGGAAATAAAGGGCTATGTCCTGGGGCTAGGGGGTGTAATTAGGACAATGAGCCATCAGGCTGACAAATTCCTTCCACCCAAGGTTGATCCTTCAGAGTGGATCTGTACCCTAGTGCCCAGAACATCCCACCTACTAACGATAGTTCCTCTTTGCAAAAAGCACAGAGAAGTATGGGGTGATTGTGTTGGAGGAATCTCCACGCATACACACATACACACACACACACACACACACACACACACACAAACAGGTGTGTCAGAATGGGCCTTCCCTGCTCCAGAAAGCCAAGTTCTGCTTCCACGCTCAGAGGCAGCCCCCCTCAAGCCATCCTCAATCACCCTCACTCTGGTGCCCCCAGAAATTCCATCCCATTAGCTCAGACTAGTCTGCATGTGTGAGGTGGGAAAGCTAGTCTCATTCTAGTCAATGTGGTCTTCCCCACTTGTTGCCCCCTGTACCCCACTATTGTGGAGCCTTCCTGGGAGCACAGTGGAGATCATTTCCCATGGAATGAGTTGGAGTCACAGTGTCCTTTAATGAGCTGGAGTTAGAGGGTCAGTCCTCTATCCCTGCCCATCCTTTTCTGAAGGAGAAATCCATTCCACTTGAAGAACCTTATTGCAATGCAGGAAACACAAAATAAACACAAGTTTACTTTTCTGATTCTAAGCTGAGGACGCTATATTGGATTTCTTTGTTTTCTACCGGAGTTGTGCTTGGTCTTCAGACATCCATTCTGATGGGCCGGTGGAGAGGTGTGCTCCCACCAAGACTCCTTTCTTCAAGAAGTGTTCAGAAGCTTCCAGAACCCATAATGCTCTCTTGGGGTGGAGGGAGGAGAGAATTGGAAATGGATGTATGTCAATTTCTTGTGGTGACTTAAGCCAGTGGCCTTTGCCAGATTTTTCTGTGGTCTGCCCCCAGTTAAAATGAATTGTGAAATTTCCATTGTGCCATTCTGGAAGGGGGCCGGGGTCATCACCCTATCTGCATCTTTCTGGGTTGTGTGGATGTCACTAGGTCCCGTGCTGACCCCCCTGACACCCGTCACTGCCCCCCAATGAGGCACAAAAGCCAAAAAAAAAATATTTCATACTCTTTATGTGTTTTAGCAGACATTTATAAAACAAAATAAATGGCACATATGTTTTCTAAGTCCTTGGTATGGATTTTTCTTTTCAGGTGTTAGGAATGAAGAAGGTTTTCGAGGTGTTTGCAGTATACAAAATGCTTTCGTTTCCATTATTATTTTGTGGTCTTTGCATCAAGCAGTGAGCAGGTTAGACCTTGTGGCTACTTCGCACTGTGTAGATGAGGAAACTGAGGCTGGGAAAGTGGTTCTTCCTTAAAGAGGTAGAAATCCAAATCTTGCTCTCCTGACTCCAAGTACTCCATATATGATCAGTGAAAGCTGATCCTCCGAAAGAGGGAAAGGATGATGGAAAGATCTGGAAAGACGGCAAGAGGATCCATGGGTCAGTCACCTGCCATTGAGGTCTAAGATGGAACCTTTGTTTCGATCACCTTAGTCTGTCAGTCATACGAAATGCAAAGACATGGGGGAAATTTCATAGTAGCAAGTGTTTTGAAATGAAAAGAATAAAAGATTGTTTTTAATTTTAAAGAATAAATTTTTAAATAAAAATTCTACAAAAATAATTTGGCAGGCTAAGAATGTAGCTTAGTGGTAAAGTGCTTGCCTAGCATGCATGAAGCCCTGGCTTCTATTTCTCACTAACACATAAACAGGAAAAGCTAGAAGTGGCGCTATGGCTCAAGTGGTAGAGTGCTAGCCTTGAGCAATAGAAGCTCAAGGACAGGACAGTGCCCAGATCCTGAGTTCAAGCCCCAGGACTGGCAATAATAATAATAATAATAATAATAATTTCATTGTGGGGCTTGAACTTGGGGCCTGGGTGCTATCCTGAGCTCTTTTTGCTCAAGGTGTTATAGTACTCTTCCACTTTGAGTCACAACACTACTTCCAGTTTTCTGGTGGTTAATTGGAGATAAGAGTCTCACAGACTTCCCTCCTGGGGTTAGCTTTGAACTGTGATCCTCAGATCTCAGCTTCCTGAGTAGCTAGGATTATAGGTGTGAGCCATCAGCACCCAGATAATCCTAGCTATTCTGGAGGCAGACATTACCAGGATGTTGGTTTGAGCCCAGTTCAGGCAAAAAGTTCATGAGACTCCATCTCAACCAATAAAACTGGCCACAGTCATGCACCCCTGAGATGCCATCTACTTGGGAAGCAGAAATAAGAGAATCACAGTCCAGGTTGGCCAAGGGATCCTATTCTAACTAAAGCAAAAGAAACGTAGCTGGGGACGTGATTCAAGTAGTAAAGCACCTACCTAGAAGCACAAGGCCCTGGCCAAACTCCAGTATAACACATCAAAAAAGAAGTCATAGAAGTTTTCTAAGCTATTGTATGAGTGTTAGAATTAAGGATGGACTTGTAGACCTTTACAGTGTACAAAATGCTTTCAGATATACAGTAACTGTCAGACTGTCATAGAAAAGGTCAAATAAAGCCTTACCCAGGCTGCTCTCTGGCAAGAGGCTAGCCATTCAGCTCTCTGGTCTCCCATTAGCTGCCTGCTTGGTTCCTGGGCCACTCCTGTCCCTCTGTTCCTTTTCCCATCCACCAGGAAACGGTTTCATTAATTTGTCCCTGCCTCCGCCAGCCTGGCCATGGGGGTAGGGACAAGAGGAGGCTATTTCAGTGCTGAATTATGCTTAATAAATCCATATCAAAACCATAAACTCTGAGCTGCCATAAATTCCCCGACCTTGGCTCTTCCACCTCACCAGCCCTTTGCCCTAGTTAATCTCTGGTCTCGGTGTCGGTGGCCAGGGCCTTACATTTGGTTTCTATTTTAGTTGCTACACAATACCCACTAGGCAACAGACGGCAGCGTGCCCATTGTAGAGATGATGAGAGTGAGATGCAGGAGGGACAGGAGCTCATCCACACACCACACATCCAATGAGATACCCAGCCAGGACTTGAGACTCATTTCTGCTACCACTCCACGTGGGTGGAGAATGGACACTTCTGGAAAGGCTGGTCCTTGTAGCTCCTCTTCAGAGGCTCAAAGGTCCCTGAGAAACTGAACACTACTGGCTTACACTTGTAATTCTTGCTACTCCGGAGGCTGACATATAAGGATCATGGTTCAAAGCCAGCCAGGGCAGGAAAGTCCATGAGTCTCTTATCTCCAAGTAACCACCCCAAAGCCAGAAATGAAGGTGTATAACTCATACGATGGAGTACTAGCCTTGAATAAAAAAGATCAGGGACAGTGCCCAAGCACAGAGAGAGAGACACAGAGACACAGAGACACAGAGACAGAGACAGAGAGAGACAGAGACAAAGACACAGAGAGAGAGAGACAGAGATTCCCAAAACAGGCTTCTAGAAACTCCTCATCTTATTTGCCACACTGCTCAGAGTGGGGACCAGAAGTAGAAGGGACCCTGGGTGACAAGTGCGTGAAGAGCCAGGTGTGTCCTCACCCACATTGGTGAGGACACCCGACTTCCTTACTTGTGGTAGCCAGATCACCTTTGGTGGACACTTCTCAAATTGGTGTGTCACATATGTAAATCCTAAGCCATTATCTTAGACAGCATCCCAGCATCCCATGCGGCTGTTTATGTTGGTGGAGACAAAGGCTGACTCATGGGCTGTCAAGGCCAATGTTTACGGCGCTCTTCCTCTTTGCCAAGCACAGCTAGACAAAGTCATCCCACCATGGCCCTCAGGGGCAGTCACTCTTCTTGTTATTCTCTCATACCTGAGGGAACAAGTTCAGAAGGAGGAAGCAACTTGCTCAAGGTCCTAGCTGACATGACAGCTGAGCACACATCCACTGCCCCACTCCAGAGGCGGCCTGTCCCACTCCATGAGGGGACTGAGGAGGAGGCTGGTGACTCAGACACTGTGCCGTGGACATAGTAGTGAGAGAACTAGAAAGGGACAAAGGTCAATGGGCAAAGCCCCAGGATGAGGTGTCCAGGGGTCAGGAAGACGCAACACCATGAGACGCCTCCCTCTCAGTGCTCACATAAAGAGAAACAAAAGGCAGTGGAAAATCAAGAGCCCAAGGAGTGGGAGAGACAGCTGGTGAGGTGGAAGGAAGGGAGAGAGTGCTGTGTGTGGAAAATGAAGGGGTGCACCCTTTGAAGGGAACGAACTCAAGAGGACATAATAAGGCAGAGACAACGCAGGAGAGCCCTGGAAGAAGAGCAGAGAAGCAGCAAGAGGCCTGCAGAGGGGAGGGAGGCCTGAGGCCAGCATTTGGCCAGTGCCCATGTCACCAGGCCCCTCTCCATGCCCAATGTACTTTCCATTCCTTTTCTTTCTTTTGGTGGCAGTACCAGGATTTGAACTCAGGGCTCTACTCTTGCTGCACCATACGGCTGAGCCATACCTCCAGTGTCTCCATGTCTTTGCATTGTCTTTAGCATTCTTGTGTGTGTGTGTGTGTGTGTGTGTGTGTGTGTGTGTGTGTAAGAATGTTTCTTTGTAGCCCAGGCTAGCACCAAAGTTGAGATCCTCTTGTTTCTGTGTCTCTGGAGTACTGGAATTACAGGTGGGCACCACTGTACTCAACCAGAAAACCATATTCTTACTTGGTAGTCAGACAAAATTACCCCAAGGAAAGTTCTGTCTCTTCCTTCCTCCCTCCCTCCCTTCCTTCCTTCCTTCCTTCCTTCCTTCCTTTTTTTGTCAAAAAACCAGGTGCAATAGTGCATGTCTGTAATATCAGCCACTCAGTAGGCTGAGGCAGGAAAATCACTTGAGCCTAGGAGTTTGGACCCTACTTGGGCAACATAACAAGATTACATCTCAAAAATAAGGCTGGATGATGGGCAAACTTATAAAAACCACATAGGTGTTAAAGGCATACTTATTCTTACCCAGTGGAGACTTTCTCTTTAAAGTGGTTAAAAGGACAGACCTCCTGAAACTTTCTTAAAAAGAAAGACTTTGGGGGTCATGTCATTCAGTGCCATTTCCATGTGTTTGTAAAATCTCCCAGCATTCCCCTCTTGGGAGCAGCACTCTTAATGTGCAGGCCTCAAGTACTAGCTAGAAGAGTCTGGAATTTCATTTGGGGAGACAGGAAAACACAGGAAAGTTCAGAGCAGGGAAAGGTTCACTCTGGCTGGGCACTGGTGGCTCATAGACACCTGTCATTCTAGCTACTCAGGAAGCTGAGATATGAAAAATCTTGGTTCAAAGCCAGCCCCAGCAGAAAAGTCTAAGAAACTCTTATCTCCAAGTAGTCACCAAAAAGCTAGAAGTGAAGTTGTGTTGCTGTGGCTCAAGTGGTCTAGTGCCAGCCTTGAGAGAAAAAACCAAGGGGAGTAGAAGACCCTGAGTTCAAGTCCCCTAGCACTGGTGCAAAAACTAAAAAATCAATAAAATACACACCAAAAGTTCACTCTGGGTGCATTGTGGGGGATGGAATGGAGCAAGTGCTTCCATAGCAAGGAGATTCAGATAACATATCAGGTAAGAGATCATATCTGCACCAAGATGGTGGCCATAGTGAGGACCCAACCTATCCAAAAGATGCTCATTCATTCACTCAACAAGTACTTAGTGACAGCCTTGAGCACTTTGCTGAATCTGAGAGGTACAGGGATCAGGGCAG